TCAGCTATAAATCCGACAAGATGACGTGTTCTTGAGGCCAACAGTTAAACCGGATCGTAGCCCTCCATTTTCATTGGGTGATTATTGGGCCGTATTTGAATTATTAGGCCCAATTGTTTTACCATGTTCTTTGTTTGTACTTCGCAAAAAGCCGAAAACAATAACAAAGTAACAAAGCGAAGCTTGTTTTTACACACACGTATTACAAGTCACGGACCGGACCAATACAAAAAAACATAATCGCACTCTGTCTCTCTTGAGACACACACACATTTGGTTGAGAGAGAGAGAGAAATGGGTTCGGTTCTAAACAGAAGAATAGTTTTCTCACTTATGTTCTTGATCATTATGATGGTCTATGGACATAAAGCTGATTCAAAATGTGTTTTTGAAGCAATCTTCAGTTTCGGAGACTCGAATTCCGACACGGGAGGATTTTGGGCTGCTTTTCCGGCTCAAACCGGTCCATGGGGAATGACTTATTTCAAGAAACCGGTCGGTCGTGCTTCAGACGGCCGTCTCATCATTGATTTTGTGGGTAATGTAACTAACGAATACCCTCAAATTAATATTCCATATTTGTATATACAGTTTGTTATTACTAAAACACAAAAATTCTTTTTAGCTGAATCTCTTGGAATGCCTTTCCTAAGCCCATATTTGCAATCTATTGGATCGGATTTTCGACACGGCGCAAACTTTGCAACGTTAGCTTCAACGGTTCTTTTGCCAAACACGTCCTTATTTGTCTCCGGAATCAGTCCTTTCTCACTCGCTATTCAACTAAATCAAATGAAACATTTCAAGGTTATTGTTGACGAGTCTCATTCTTCGCACCAACCAGGTATGTCTCTATTCTCTAGTAATGATGAAATTAACGAAGCAAATAATTAACGTAACTATCCTTGTGTTGTGTTATAGGGTTGAAGACCTTACCGTCTAAGGGTGTGTTCGGGAAATCGCTATATAAGTTTTATATTGGACAGAACGATTTTACATCCAACTTAGCGACTATTGGAGTTGATGGTGTGAAACAGTATCTTCCACAGGTCATAGGCCAAATTGCTGGAACGATTAAGGTACCAAATGCTAACAGTAACACCATAACGTTTTAGGTTAAGAAGAATAGATTACGTGCCGTTTCACAAATTTAGAACATGCTGTTTATTAATCTTCTTTTGAATGTAGGAGATATATGGAATAGATGGTCGGACGTTTTTGGTATTAAATTTAGCACCGGTTGGATGTTACCCGGCGATTATAACCGGTTACACGCATACCATTTCGGATTTAGACAAATTTGGTTGTCTAATTCCCATAAACAAAGCCGTCAAATATTACAACGCATTACTGAAAAAGACATTATCCGTAACCAGAACCGAACTAAAAAACGCAACAATAATCTACTTAGACACTCACAAAATATTGCTCGACCTCATTCAACACCCCAAATCCTTTGGTACGTAATGTCACAACCGGTTTGGTTTTGTTGGACTTAACCAATTCAAAATCCTATTTCGGTATTTTGGCTAAACGTGTTTTTTTGTTGTTAAATCATACCAAAGGTATGAAACATGGTATCAAAGCTTGTTGTGGACACGGTGGTCGTCCGTACAATTTCGATCAGAAGTTATACTGCGGTAACACCAAAGTGATCGGAAATTCTTCTGCGACGGCCAAAGCTTGCCGTGATCCTCAAAGTTACGTGAGTTGGGATGGAATTCACGTGACGGAGGCTGCAAACCACCGCATTTCCATGGCCATCCTGGATGGTTCGATATCATATCCTCCATTCACACTTAATAGCCTATGTCCGTCTTATTTATGATGTAACAAGAATATATTATTTAGTTGTTAATTGTTTAAATGTGAAATTTTTAAAAACTATCCACCAACTAAGCATATTGTGACAAAAACAATTATATAGATAGAGTATGTTTATGTTTTTAAAATCGTGTAATATGCTTTACAGATAGATTGTTCTTCTAATCATTTGATTCTCCTTAGTATAATGGATTAAGATAATAGTTAACTAGTGACATTTCTTCGTCACCTTTTTTGTGCGTATCGGATTATTAAATCTTTTGAAGTGCAAGTGACGATTGATTTTTTATCTTGTTGTGCCGTATTTTTATATCATTTGGACATTACTTGTAATACTTTATATCAAAGTATTTGAGTAAATAACAGATCATTTTTGTTTGACTAACCCATACGTCAACTACTATTCAAATACGAGCTCCATAGATAATTTATCGCTTCGGAATATAAAATCAAAAGCTAATTCTGATCGAGAAATTTCTGTCCGCGCTCGGTGCAAGTTTTCATGGAGAAATGTCTTCCCGCGGCTTGATGCATCGAGTCTTGATCGAGAGATTTCTTCATGCGGTTCGATGCATCGAGTTTTGATCGAGAGATTTCTTTCCGCGGATCGATACATCAAATGTTTTAATTGTTTGTTTCTTTTTGTAAAAAGATTGTTTTGAAAATTTTAATGCAATTTATAATTGTTTGTCATTTATGCTTTGCCCACTCCATAATAAGAATTAGGAGCACCTGAGAGCAAAACGACACACAGTTTACACATGCATAATCAAAACGGCAACAAGTTATAAGAAAAAACCTTAGAAAATCGAAAATTTGAATGTAACTTACTGTACAAAGTTGTAAAAAAAAAAAAATTAGGAAGAAACTACAAATTAAGGCATATTAGAAGAAGAAGAAGGAAGATCTTCATGAAACTCCAAACTAGGCTGAGTTCTAACCATAGCCGCCGCGGGCATTCTACTCCGACCAATCCAAACATTTCCGATCATCTCACTCTTCTCCGACTCTCTTTCCATCTCTCTTAACCTCTTCTTCTTCACTAACTTCACCACACCAACAATCACAAAAACAACCATAACCAATATTCCAATCGCCGCTAAACCAAACCACCACCACTTCCTCCTAACCGACTCCGGTTTAGTTTTGTGTTTCTGGTTTAGAACCACAAGCACGAAATGCCCACGAGAATTCGTAGTGACACACTCGTAACTCCGTGTCGTATTGCTTAGACTCATCAACCCATTATCTCCAAAGGTGCCACATTTGATGTTTCTTCTTCCTCGATAATCGAATTTGATCAAGATTGGATTATCTCTCTTTATGGAAAGATTCAATTTTTTGAGATCATTCGTGTTCGTAGCGTCGTAAACAGTGAATCCCTTAACTGGAGAAACAAACGAGTAATTATTATCAGATAACCGGAAATATACCGACGAAGCACTATCACCGAAACTCTCGTAGACAAAAGCTATTCTCTTAGCGTACGGCGTCGTTTTAACCATCGGAGGAATGTAGATTCCGGTAAAGTTTGCTCCTTTTCTCCAGAACATACTGTTACGGACCGCAACAACCGATGCTTTAATGTCGGAAAGATTCGACGGTAATGAAATCTCGTATAAGGAGCCTGTGTGTCTTCTTGTATTGCCACGTGCAGCTTGTGAACGGATCAGATCGTCTAAATCTCGAATGTTGTTGATGCAATGAACCATAGATTGTAGATT